CTGAATGTGAACCAAACTTGGAACATAACTGACAAGAAGTGGCCAATTCGACGATATTCCCTCTGTAGTCTCTCTATAGACTTCTTTATGTATATCCTCTCCAACAATGTAAATTATGGTCCTGTCATCTTCCGGGTCTAAATGACAACACACTGCCACTTTATTCTCCTCGTCCAACAAGAAGCTTGTCACATTCGTCAAATGCGGTATCGTAAAATTTATCAAAATCCACAACTAACAAGTTGCTCCACGACATGTCTTTGGTATCAACAATCTTATTAGCCACCCAAATCTTCACCACTTGTGAAATCAAAAGTGAGCAAGAAAATAGCCGATTTCTTCAGCGAAAGCACTCCAGTATGCATTTTCTTTCAAAGAAACGCCAAGACTTATTACATTACAGTCATCATGGAAGTCATCAAGAACCCTCCATGAATCAGAGCTAAACTCATAGATTTCGACCTCAAACACCGGAAGCTTCTCGCCCTTGTGATGACGACAAAACCTCAAGATTTTGTAGCTAGGGCAAGAAGCATTGTTGTTTCCGTATCCTAGAGCATACACATCATAAGTACTGTAAGAGATTCTGGGTTTGATCCATCTGGTTTCACCGGTACAGGGGGTTCCAAACATGGATTCTCGTATTTTCCTTGGTAACGCATAATATCAAACCTTGGCAGTGAAAAATTTCAGATATTTCCAAATCTTGAGAATGTGCTAAGTTTACCTCTAAACTCCATGGATGGATCAATTCCGTTGTGGTAATTGACGCTAACTGAATAAACCCCAAACCTTGTCTCTAAGATCAACTCTCTAGCGGATTTGCCGTGATTCTTCTTGACGAAATGCGGATCCTTAAACTGAATGTACCATCGTTTGCAATTTTACTAGAGACTTGGTCGGAACTCGGAACCCTAGCGAGTATTTCAGATTCCAAATCCTCTGGAAGATCGGAAATCATCATTGTCTTTGATAATGTAAATCTCTAGGGCATATGGCCGTTTTTATATCTGTTTTTTTCCAAAGTATAATTTACTAACGTTATTAATTTTACAATCTTTAAAGATTCTCTTTTATTTCTTTGTCTTATTTTACACATTTAAAACAAAAAATCTGTGAAAATTACTTTAAAAAAAAACTGTACTAGTTTATTGTTGTTGTGAATAGAAAAACGTAAACATGTTTGTTTAGCTATATTTACATTATTATTTAATAATAAGAAATCATAACTTAATTAAAAAAAAAACCACAAGCATTAAGTATTTAAATCAAAAACTTTAATTCTGTAAATTTGCAATAACTTGATAATTGATTATGGTATTGCATTGGAAAATACTAGATTTATACCCACGCGGTGCGTGAGATATCATTTTTAATATGTCAAAAATAAATCATAAAACAGAAATATAATAATTTAAATTTTAGAAGGTAATTCTATGTGACCACAACGAATTCGGCGAGTACGATTTAAGAATTTTTTTGGGTT